AAAAAAAAAAAAAAAAAAGACACACTGGGACAATGGCCACCACAGTGGACTCTCACATGCCAGCAGTCGTGAGAATGTTGCAGGCCCAGGCAATGTGTCATCCTGTTGTAGGTCAGGTCACCATGAGTCGGAGTCAACTCAGCAGCAGCTATCTGTTTTAAGATCTTGTCTTGGTTCTCTGGTGCTGCTGTAACAGAAACTCCACAAGTGGATGGCTTCAACAAACGGAACTTGATTCCCTTACAATTTAGGCAGCTAGAGGCCTGAATTCAGGGTGCCAGCTCCAGGGGAAAGCTTCCTCTCTCTGTAGACTTTAGGGGATGTTCCTTGTCTCCTTTCAACATCTGTGGGCCTGGCGTTCCTTAGAAATCTCCATGTGTCTTGACATCAGTTTTTTCCTGGGTCTAGAAGGCTCTCATCACAGGGACCCTAGGTACAAAGGACATGCTCTGCTCCTGGCTCTTTCTTGGTGGTAATCAGGTCCCTCTGATCTCTGCTTGCTTGTTCAATCTCTTTTATATCTCAGAAGAGATTGACTCCAGAGACATCCTAATCCTGTAGATTGTATCCTGCCTCATTAACATAACTGCCTCTAATCCTACCTCATTAACATCAAAGAGATTAGGATTTCCAACACATAAGATAATTACATCAGACCACAAAATGGAAGATAATTACATAATACCAAGAATCATGGCCTAGCCATTCAATCTATAACAGATCTCAAGGAGCTTTGTGTAAGCAGTTAAATCTCAATTAATTAGGGCACTCATTGGGAAAACAAGATTATATCTCATGATGGATCAATTGGATGGAGGCATAGTCCTACCCCTTGTCACAGATTAGTCACAAATCACCTAATTGCTGAACACTTCAAGTCTTCAGTGTACTCAAACAGCCTGTTAACTGTTCCTAAGCTAACCAAGAGGTTGGTGGTTCAAAACTACCAACCAGTGCGTGGGAGAACAATGAGGCAGTTTGCTTCTGTAAAGGTTCACAGCCTTGGAAAACCCATGAGGCAGTTCTACTCTGTCCTGTAGGGTGGCTTTGAGTCGGAATCTAGGGTGGGCATTTTAATTGATATTGTCTCCATTTAGCACTTATTTCACCTTAGAGATAGTTTATTCTTATTTAACAAACGCTCATATGGCTTATGTGTTAGGAACATTCTAAGCACTTTACAAATGAGCCTCTTAACGACTCTGGTGTAAGGACGATTCTCACCATCTCCTCTTTGAGAGGTGAGGAAACTGAGGCATTGAGGAAACCAAAGGAAACAGAACTTGAAGCCCAGAAGCCTGAGTCTGGGTCTGCTTTCTTAACACTACTCTCTGCAGCCTCTCTCTCTCTCTCTTTGTCTCTTCCAGGAGATGTTGGGGGCACCAGGCTTGATGAATTATTTTTCTTAATTTTTGCAACTGTCACCCTGGAATGTGGCATTGTTGTTGAGTGTTACTGAGTCAACTCATAGTGACCCATGTGACAGAGTAGCACTGTACCATAGGGCTTCCTAGGCTGTCATCTTTATGGGAGTGGATTGCCAGGCTTTTCTCCCTTGGAGCTGCTGGGTGGGTTTGAACCACCAACCTTTCTGTTAGCAGTAGAGCATTTACTTATTGCATCACCAGGGCTCCTTAGAGATGTGGTAGGGGCAGGGAATGCAAATAGAAGAAGACACAGGTGCTCTCTCTAGAGGTGTACCCGTTATTTACTGGACGTTTTCTCACCTGAAGCCAGGAGAGAGGCCTGGACTAGAGACACAAATACGGGTTCACCAGCACACGGGCGGTAGTGGGAAGGCCTAGGGTTTCCCAGAGAAAGGATGCAGAATGAAAAGAACAGCCAAGGGAGGGACCATAAGGGAAGAGCTACAGCTAATGAGTGAGGAGAGGAAGAGGGGTCCATGCGGGAAACGTATAAAGAAAACTAGAAAGACAGAGGACAGCCTGGAGGGGTGATGCTCCACAAGCCAAGGGCAGAAAAACAAGTCTAAGAAATTCAGAAAAGCACCCGCGGGACTTGACATTTGGTCACTGGTGACCTCACCGAGAACAGTTTTAGAGGGGATGTTGATGGAGGCCATACCTGATTGCACCAAGTTGGGGAATCTGGTGAGAGAAGTCGAGTAAGTGTGCTGATGGGTGAGGACGGAAGTTGAACAGTATCTTCACAGAAAGCAGAGCAGTCGTCAGAGAGGGAAATGTGTGGGCTAAAGACTGTGTGGGAGGAAGGCTTGTAAGAATTGTGCCGAGAAAGAAAATCTTCTTTGAACTCCACTTCCTGCCAAATTCCTGATCAATTTTCTTTTCACTTTCATGTAGAACTCTATGAAAAATCCTTTAGCCTCTTCATTCTCTCTTCCCCCTCACTCCTTCAAACCACTGTCATTGTAGTCTGGCATTCGCCTCTATCCTGAAATGGTTTCCTAAAACATCACCTGTGACGTTTGTGGCTCACTTACGGTTCACTGGACAAGCCACTCAGTATTGTTCAAAGGAATAAATATGCTCAGTGTTCTTAACGGCATGCACCATGATTTGTCTACGTTATTTCATTTCAATTTCCAGCTGGGAATGTAAGCTCTATTCCCTCCCAAGCACAGTGGCATATTGGAGGGGTTGATAAAGTGCGATTGTAAGGCACATGGAACATCT